TTATTGGTGGGAAATTATAACAGAGGAATATATTTGCCGTTTTAATATCAAGAACACTTCCGTGTTTTTGTGTGTATACAGGAATGTTAAAGATATCATTGAGGAAAACGAGGCTGACGACAGCAGATGCAGCACCAGTGTAACCAGGCTGGACAGACACACAAAAAGTCCACAGGCTTGAGATCAGTGAAATAAAAGTCAGTTTATTTGGGACATCTGTGCACAAAAAGAAATGCACTGATGAAAGTGAAGGACTGAAACATTTGCTGCTGTTTTTATTCACTTCTTTTAATTAGTTTTTGCTCATTCATAATAAAAAGTTGTATTTTCATCCTCAGAGTGTGAAAACCAGTTTCTGTGTTGATTAACTCAAACGTTCTGTTCATTTAACTCTTTGTTTTAATATCAAAGTGGTGGCAGATCTAGACAGACTAATGGTACAAGAGGGTTTTCTGTGGAGCACATTGAGCTGCCTGTGTGTGCCACATTTCAGGCCAATCAGACTCATGCAGTGATGGGTGCGGACTTTTGAAGAAACAAGATGGGGCCACTTATGTTAGCGCCACCATGTGGCCACTTTGGGCCATATTTCTTAGGAAGCATGTACACATACAAGTTTCATGTTTCTTGCTTGTTCCAGCTCACAGGACTTTGAGCCACAGCATAAGATGGAAGAATAATAACAGTAATTAAAGTCAAGGCTTCTCGTTCTTGAACCCTTTTGATGTGGACATGTGTTATTGAACATTATAATAAAGCACCTGTATAATGCTGAACTAAACACATGTTGCATACTGAAGTTATTTCATGTTAAAGTCTATAAAGTTCCCTGGACATGTATGACGGTGTCAGCAGTCCCTCCTGCTCCGTCTTCTTCAGTGCTCTGAAAGACACACAGGAAACACACAGGTTAAAGATGTTTATGCACATGACAAAATTTGAAAGGTGGAGTGTGTCAGACTTTGGTGACATCTAGTGGTGAAGTACAGATTACAACCAGCTGAACCTTCTCCTGGTGAGAATTCCTTCAGTGTTTGTTGTTGAGGAGCTGAATCACCCTCAGAGGTCTCTTCCTCTCGACACAAACACACCTGGGGCCTCATTTATGAAACAATGCAGTCTCCAAAATGTCTGTCAGCGTGGGTCAGAGTTTCTCCCTTCAGGTCTGTTTTTATACATCACAACTGTTGTCGTGTGAAGTGGCGAGCGCCTCTTTCAGGCCTCGTTTTGTGCGTACGCAGTGTTTGTAAATCAGCTGATTTAAACAGCTAGAAGGCTGAATAAAGACGTCTCACATTAAAAATCAGTCAAACTCGTTGCACTTGGTCTTACTACAGTGGCTGCTGCAAAAATGTCCCTATGTAGAACTGGTGTTTGGTTTGTCCCTTCTGGGCTACTGTAGAGACATGGCGGTGCAACATAGTGATCTCTGTAGACGAGGACCCTTCAGTGCAAACACCAGCCTAGTGACATTAGTCGCTAGAGGTCGCTGTGACCGTGAGCACTATGTGTTACTGGGACTCTCACACACAAGGGTTTCTGGGTAACGTAGTTAGCGTGTAAAGGAGCTACACAGCTAGCTAATGTTCAGTAAATGGTCGAGTTTAGAGTCAGTGAACTTCATGACTTTGCTTTCAAGCCTTCTTTGTCTCGACGTTGTGGGCGGCCCTTCTCGTCACCGTACCTGCTGACCTCGTCTCTCATGTGGGTCGTCCTCTCTTTGTTGCCTGAACGCACCACACGTGTCACATATGAACATATTAAATTCGTGACCCTCTGTGGTCAGGCTGCGACCATGTTCAGCATGGTTAAAGTTCAGGGATAAAAATGTCTCCTTCAGTTTCGTTGTGTGCAGTGGTGCACGCTACTGTGCACGCATGGTCTCATCACATGATGAGACAGAGACTGGACAACATCCACACATATATTACCCAGCAATCATCACTGCACCTGTGTGATAGAAATAAAAAAACATTTGTTTAAGTTAATGATTGAATGATGAAAATAACATATGAACCTTTTTGGCGAGTTCACAAAGTGTCGTCGATGATGAAGGTGGAATGGAAAGACTGAGGCACAGAGTCATCCTCACCTGTAAACAGACACACAGTCAGTTAAAGTGACATCACAGTGTAGCGTGCTGAAGCTTCCACCTCACTTCCTGTGCAGGACTTCACACTGACTAGCCTTTTTCTGTCCGTGGTTTTGTGTCGAGGCCGAGGCTCAAATTATCAGCAGCGTGTGCAGCGTCTAAAATAAAACACCACGTGTGACGCGGTTAGCTGATGTGAAGCTGTAAAACACACGCTCTCAAACACGTGTGGTCAACGTGACGTCTCACCTTTATTCTTCTTCTTGTCAAACAGCTCCCTGTTCAGGTCACGCAGCGCTGCTTCCAGTGAGACTGAAACATAACGTGACAGCAGCATGATTATACAGAGTAATGTGAGCGAGGCAGAGAGTCGACACAGACCCAACTTTATTTTGTCCTCTTGGCGTGTTCCTCACACAGCTCATGTAAGGAACAGCTGATACGACCTGCAGAACCAGAACCATCAAACCTTAGTTTGTTTAAAGGAGGATTTTGGTACCCAGCTGTTTCTTCCAGTGGAGGAGTCCCATCACCAGCAGCTGCAGGAACAGGACCACAGCGACAGCCACCCACAGCAGCACGTAGTGGTGCAGGGAACGTTTCATCTCTGAGTCACAAGCTGGAAAAATCACAGAAAGTTCCGCCTTTGACAAAACGGCCAAAAGAGGAGGAGCGTACAGAGGGCAGAGGAGGAGCACACAGAGGGCAGAGGAGGAGCGTACAGAGGGCAGAGGAGGAGCACACAGAGGGCAGAGGAGGAGCGTACAGAGGGCAGAGGAGGAGCGCACAGAGGGCAGAGGAGGAGCGTACAGAGGGCAGAGGAGGAGCGCACAGAGGGCAGAGGAGGAGCGTACAGAGGGCAGAGGAGGAGCGCACAGAGGGCAGAGGAGGAGCGTACAGAGGGCAGAGGAGGAGCGCACAGAGGGCAGAGGAGGAGCGTACAGAGGGCAGAGGAGGAGCGCACAGAGGGCAGAGGAGGAGCGTACAGAGGGCAGAGGAGGAGCGCACAGAGGGCAGAGGAGGAGCGTACAGAGGGCAGAGGAGGAGCGCACAGAGGGCAGAGGAGGAGCGTACAGAGGGCAGAGGAGGAGCGCACAGAGGGCAGAGGAGGAGCGTACAGAGGGCAGAGGAGGAGCGCACAGAGGGCAGAGGAGGAGCGTACAGAGGGCAGAGGAGGAGCGCACAGAGGGCAGAGGAGGAGCGTACAGAGGGCAGAGGAGGAGCGCACAGAGGGCAGAGGAGGAGCGTACAGAGGGCAGAGGAGGAGCGCACAGAGGGCAGAGGAGGAGCGTACAGAGGGCAGAGGAGGAGCGCACAGAGGGCAGAGGAGGAGCGTACAGAGGGCAGAGGAGGAGCGCACAGAGGGCAGAGGAGGAGCGTACAGAGGGCAGAGGAGGAGCGCACAGAGGGCAGAGGAGGAGCGTACAGAGGGCAGAGGAGGAGCGCACAGAGGGCAGAGGAGGAGCGTACAGAGGGCAGAGGAGGAGCGCACAGAGGGCAGAGGAGGAGCGTACAGAGGGCAGAGGAGGAGCGCACAGAGGGCAGAGGAGGAGCGTACAGAGGGCAGAGGAGGAGCGCACAGAGGGCAGAGGAGGAGCGTACAGAGGGCAGAGGAGGAGCGCACAGAGGGCAGAGGAGGAGCGTACAGAGGGCAGAGGAGGAGCGCACAGAGGGCAGAGGAGGAGCGTACAGAGGGCAGAGGAGGAGCGCACAGAGGGCAGAGGAGGAGCGTACAGAGGGCAGAGGAGGAGCGCACAGAGGGCAGAGGAGGAGCGTACAGAGGGCAGAGGAGGAGCGCACAGAGGGCAGAGGAGGAGCGTACAGAGGGCAGAGGAGGAGCGCACAGAGGGCAGAGGAGGAGCGTACAGAGGGCAGAGGAGGAGCGCACAGAGGGCAGAGGAGGAGCGTACAGAGGGCAGAGGAGGAGCGCACAGAGGGCAGAGGAGGAGCGTACAGAGGGCAGAGGAGGAGCGCACAGAGGGCAGAGGAGGAGCGTACAGAGGGCAGAGGAGGAGCGCACAGAGGGCAGAGGAGGAGCGTACAGAGGGCAGAGGAGGAGCGCACAGAGGGCAGAGGAGGAGCGTACAGAGGGCAGAGGAGGAGCGCACAGAGGGCAGAGGAGGAGCGTACAGAGGGCAGAGGAGGAGCGCACAGAGGGCAGAGGAGGAGCGTACAGAGGGCAGAGGAGGAGCGCACAGAGGGCAGAGGAGGAGCGTACAGAGGGCAGAGGAGGAGCGCACAGAGGGCAGAGGAGGAGCGTACAGAGGGCAGAGGAGGAGCGCACAGAGGGCAGAGGAGGAGCGTACAGAGGGCAGAGGAGGAGCGCACAGAGGGCAGAGGAGGAGCGTACAGAGGGCAGAGGAGGAGCGCACAGAGGGCAGAGGAGGAGCGTACAGAGGGCAGAGGAGGAGCGCACAGAGGGCAGAGGAGGAGCGTACAGAGGGCAGAGGAGGAGCGCACAGAGGGCAGAGGAGGAGCGTACAGAGGGCAGAGGAGGAGCGCACAGAGGGCAGAGGAGGAGCGTACAGAGGGCAGAGGAGGAGCGCACAGAGGGCAGAGGAGGAGCGTACAGAGGGCAGAGGAGGAGCGCACAGAGGGCAGAGGAGGAGCGTACAGAGGGCAGAGGAGGAGCACACAGAGGGCAGAGGAGGAGCGTACAGAGAGCAGAGGAGGAGCACACAGAGGGCAGAGGAGGAGCACACAGAGGGCAGAGGAGGAGCGTACAGAGGGCAGAGGAGGAGCACACAGAGGGCAGAGGAGGAGCACACAGAGGGCAGAGGAGGAGCGTGTCTGTATGTCACCTGGTGCACACGGTGTGTTCGAGTCCTCTCTTTGTGTCACTGAGTCAAACGTCACCTCTGGGACTGAAACAAAGTTCTGTCAGTGTTTGTCTGAATGAAGTGACTCGTCATGCTGTGTCACTACACACCTGACACCTGGACTCACCTGTGACAGTCAGCCGGCTCTCAGGTGACTCTCCAGCTCCAGAGATGTGACACCTGTAGAGTCCTTCATCAGACTTGGACACACTGCTGATGGTCATCTCTCCTGTGGAGCTGCTCCTGATGAGGCGGCCATCTTTAAAGAAATCAGCTGTGTTTGAGGAGGTCGTCTTGTTCCTGCAGCGCAGAGTGACATCATCTCCCTCCGTCACAGGACTAACAGGACTCTCCAGGATCACTGAGCCGGCTGAACGTCAGCAGAGGAACAAACAGTGGTTGAGAAACACACTGTGCTGTGCTTACAGTGACACATGTCGTACAGTCAGACACACAGTCAGCCGACCAGTGACGCTGATGCTCTCAGAGTTGCTCCTCCTCCCTCCGCCCTCACACCAGTACTCTCCACTGTCCGATACGAAAGCAAAGTCGATGGCGCAGGTCACGGTCGGCGTCTCTGTGTCGTTTGAACATTTTGAAATGAACTCCTCTGTGTTCCTCACTCTGAATCCGGCCGACACGTTCAGCCCCTCACAGGTAAAACGCACAGACTGGTATTCAAAGAGCTGCAGTCTGGTTGGAACGAGATGAAGAGCTGCACCTGAGACACAATGAATGAGCCTGGATCACAGAAGGAAACAAAGCGTGTCCCAGAACAACAAAGACAAAGTCACGTGACCTGTACGTTGCAGAGGAAGTAGCAAGAAGCCAACACATCCTCACTGTGACCTCGTCACAACAGTAAGAGCACTTAATCTTTGACTTTCCAAAGCTCACACTTTTAATGGATCAAACGTATTCAGGCGTCAGACGTTGGATGAGCTGGCATTCATGTCAGGGTCCATGTTTTAGGGTTCGGACTGGACTATCTGCTACGTACCAGCTGTCTGAGGACGACTTGGCTGCAGCATCAACACGTTCATCACTGCAGAGACGAGAGAGGAGAGAGCTGTGTCAACACATGGTTTATACTGCACGTAGGATTCATATTAATCACTACAACATGATGATCATAATAATTAAAGCTGCAGCAGCGATGAACGGGCCCTCGCACCCACGCACAACTTTGGGGTTCATGTCATATCCTAACATGACATTTCTCATTTCCAGCAGGTGGCGCTGTGCTCATTACTAAATATTGTCATGTAGATGTGTTCAGGGCGGGACTGGCATCAATCCTGTGAAGTTTGGACCATGAATGCTGGAGTTATAAACTACTTCCTGTTTTGTGGCGGCACATCTTTGCCACGGTCACACGGATTGACAAAAACTCAAGGTTGTAATAAGTTTTCATCTTCAAGGTGTTGACGTGGGACAGACTGAGGTTTGAAGACGATCGGATGAAATCTCTCGGAGGAGTTCGTTAATTTACGCCCTCTGGAAACGGACAAAAATGCACCAAAATTGCACAGTAAATTCAAAATGGCCGACTTCCTGTTGGGTTTAGAGCATGGCTCCAAGAGGCTTTTTTGTACGTCCTGGGATGTTTGATGTGACCACCAAGTTTCATACACGTAGGTGAAAGTAGCTTTGGGGCTGTTTTTTTTTTAATGTGTAGGGGGCGCCACTGAGCCACTTTTAGCACTCGAGCATGAGACCTCTAAAGTATCAAACTTTTGACCAGCTGTGATACGTCTGCAAAGTTTCATCAGTTTTCCAGTACGTTAAACCTCCCAAAAGGCACAGACGCATTTCGACAGCGTCTTCGCACCGCGTGTTCAAGACCCGATGATAGTTGTGTTTGTATCACACAGTTCGTACAGACAGCGCGACTCAGAGTGCCTCATACCATAAAACAAGAATCAATCACACACACACACACACACACACATTAAAATACGACGCAGGTTTGAAACCAACAGGTCAGGAGCCGGTCCGTGAGGAGATTTAATGAGTCCTAAAATGAGCCTCTAAAGCCGGACTCGTGTGTTTGGTCTTGTGAGTCGACGTGCTGCTGCCGTTTGTTCAAAGGTCTCTGTGAGAGATCTGAGAACAAGACGTTCACGTGGTCCAGTGGGCGCGAGATAAAACCATCAACGAGTCCTCCTGTGTCTTCTGCAGGTGAAAGACGTCGCACATACAGTAACATTTGTGGGGTTCAAACACACGTCGCAGTCAGAGACAACACCGAGGTTCTTTACCTCCTGCTGTTTGTTCACAGCTCGTCTAAATGAGCGTTAAATTAAAACTGCTCGTTCGTTTGGTTCCTGTTGAGTTAGTTCATGAACACAAACAGTGTGTGCAGCTGAGAGACCTTTAAAATGCTGAGTGATCAAGTAGGAAGTTCAGATCTTTAATTCAACAGGTAAACAATCAGAGATCCAAACACAACAACAACAACAACAACAACGACAACAACAACAGCAATGTGTTGATCAACTCATCTGCTGAAGAAGATGAATACAGAGAGATGTATGACTCACACAGTGTGATGCAGAGAGCTCTGACCTCCATCAAGGTCCACATCAAGGTAGCTACAGGTCCAGGTCCACATCAAGGTAGATACAGGTCCAGGTCCACATCAAGGTAGATACAGGTCCAGGTCCACATCAAGGTAGTTACAGGTCCAGGTCCACATCAAGG